TGCCCCCAGACCCCCAGTACCAAGTCTTCACTCCATGGATCAAGTCTTAGAAAATTTTTTATTGAAAGTCACGCAACATTATTTTCGGTCGGGTCATCATCCGGATCAACACACAAATTAGACTCCACAAAGACCTAACAATCTGTCCTATAACATCTGACTGGGAGTATCCCCACTGAAATGACTCAGTTGAACTCTATGGCGGCCTTCAGTATAGCACACAACAACTTATTAGATAAAACTCCAAATTTGAAAGCTCAGTTTGCTACCTTTAATGAGAGCAGCTACGAGAAAAATCCTTATCTCTGTGGACCTCCATCACATAACAAATGCGTCGACACTGGAGCTCCTTCACCAATGCAAAAGGCTTCAAAGGACGTACATCATGATTATGGGTTCATTGATATGGATGTTTTTCATTTAAGTTTTTCAATGTGGTACATTATGGTGTTGTTAGAAACTATAGCAGTTCTTTATGTGAACCCTCACTGGCGAAGGGCACGGTTCAATTTCGTTGAAATGTGTGTAACCCCTATCTACTATTTTGTTATTGACAATTTTCGTAAGTTGTTCAATTGCAAGATTGTATAATTCTTTAGCTAGATTACTAGATGTTTCGATGTAAGCTCGCTTTTAATATAATATTCCAATAGTAAATATTTTCGTTAGTTGCATAACCCTTGTTGAGATTAATTTTAATATACAATATTATGCTCTACCTTATAGACATTGGACGATATTAAATTGTGAGTATATACTGACTTAAAATTCTGTACTCGTATTCAAGGGTTGTGTAATATTATCAAGAAATAATTAATTGAATAGCAATATTATATGGATTTAAAAAATAAATTTAAAAATTATACTTGATAATTACAACTATAGATTTCACTGTGGGTCTTAATTGAATTTATGGTACATGTAATTGAATTTTGTCCCAATTCTGTATCTCTTAACCTTCCCATGTGAATTTGACAATTTAAAGATTTTTAAGTGAGATTATCTTCGAATGGATATGGGAAAACAGCCTTGCGCGTGTGTTTGAGACGGTCAATGATAAATAAAAAATCTCATTAACAATGGTGAATAACTATTGCTGGCAGTGACAGAACTAAGCAATGAAATCCGCTTATGGATACAATGCCTCAGCAATAAGGAACATTAAGATCAAGTTGGTTTGTAGATTTGAATTTAAATTCATAACCATTCAATCTACTTTATGCATCTTCGTTGAAGATCAGAGAATACTATGAAGAATTTCTAGTACCATGTTTATTTTTTATGACAGAGAATGTGTTATTTGGACTTGTGCTTCCAAATTAAACTTGACACAAGCACCTACAAATTAGGTGCATCTGTTCAATCAAGGTTTTTTTTTTATGAGACTTGAACTTAGGATTTCTAGTTATTAACCACAGAAGCCATGCCGTAGGTGCCATCTTGATGTTTAAGTATCATGTTGATCCATGGATGGCCATGTTGGTTTCATTCAAAATGAATGTTCTTTTCACTAAAATTTGATGTTGGGCATAAAATGGATCTCAACTCAAGCATGCCATGGATTCAGCATGCTGGTAGGAGAAAACAATAATAATTATTGCATTATTGAATGTGACTCCGTCGTGCTATGAAATTAGTGAACTAATTATTGCATTATTAAGTCGAATAGAATAATAATTAGCTTTAATGCAAATCAACCTAATCGCATGTGGGCTGCATATAACATTTTTAACCCCGTCTTTCTATGGAATTAGTGAGTTGACTATTGCATTATTAAGTCGAGTAGAATAGTAATTTAGTAATAATGCAAGTTGATCTTAACCATTCTTTCGTATAGTCCAGTGAAGTCACGTACATTAATTTAACTTTGTTATGCTATTAAAACAATTGGCTAACTGTTGCTTTATTGAGGCGAATGAATTAGTAATTAACAATGATCTAGAACGATCTAAACCATTTAGGGAGTCAATTGATCCCGCATATGTGAATTTTGTTATATCGTGCTATGAAAGTAATAAATTGCCTAATGTATTATTGAATCAAAACAATAATAATCAGTAATTATGTAAACTAATTTAAACCATAAGTAAGGTCAAGTGGCCCCGTACACGTGAATTTAGGTGTGTCATGCTATAAAAGTTGTTTGCTGATTGTTGGTTTACTGCATCCGGTCTTTGCAATGGCTCCACGTACAAGAATTTAGGCAAGCCGTGCCAAGGAGGCAATAGACTTGACTAGAGGGTGAGAGAGGCTATAGACTTGACTTGTTCATTACCCAAGGTGAAATTAGTAATAATATTGATGGCCTTGAAAGTCTAGTGGATGAGTATGTCATAACTTGATACTCTCAATGGACCACCGGGTCTTCTTAATATTTTTTTTTGATGGGATCCATTCACACAAAGGTCCTATCCATTTGGGATCCAAAAATTAAGAATTTTAGTTTGGATCCAAAGTATTGGGTCTCATTTATGATATATTTGAATATATGGAGTCTCATTTAGATTCATGATAAATATTTAATTTTGAGCACATTTAATACTAAAAATTTGAATTTCATTTTCAGCTATATAAATTAACGAGTATTATGATTAGTAACATGACTAACTAACCATTTAAAAAGGAGTAATGTTATTGTGACTTAATTTGCTGACCTAATTCACTATGATCTTTGGATTGACTGTGGAGCCCATTAAACATTAGAACTTAGTACTGATCCAATGGTTCTACTGAAACCACATCATTATGTTAACAAATTAAGTCAAATTTTTATGTCNTGCTGGCAGTGACAGAACTAAGCAATGAAATCCGCTTATGGATACAATGCCTCAGCAATAAGGAACATTAAGATCAAGTTGGTTTGTAGATTTGAATTTAAATTCATAACCATTCAATCTACTTTATGCATCTTCGTTGAAGATCAGAGAATACTATGAAGAATTTCTAGTACCATGTTTATTTTTTATGACAGAGAATGTGTTATTTGGACTTGTGCTTCCAAATTAAACTTGACACAAGCACCTACAAATTAGGTGCATCTGTTCAATCAAGGTTTTTTTTTTATGAGACTTGAACTTAGGATTTCTAGTTATTAACCACAGAAGCCATGCCGTAGGTGCCATCTTGATGTTTAAGTATCATGTTGATCCATGGATGGCCATGTTGGTTTCATTCAAAATGAATGTTCTTTTCACTAAAATTTGATGTTGGGCATAAAATGGATCTCAACTCAAGCATGCCATGGATTCAGCATGCTGGTAGGAGAAAACAATAATAATTATTGCATTATTGAATGTGACTCCGTCGTGCTATGAAATTAGTGAACTAATTATTGCATTATTAAGTCGAATAGAATAATAATTAGCTTTAATGCAAATCAACCTAATCGCATGTGGGCTGCATATAACATTTTTAACCCCGTCTTTCTATGGAATTAGTGAGTTGACTATTGCATTATTAAGTCGAGTAGAATAGTAATTTAGTAATAATGCAAGTTGATCTTAACCATTCTTTCGTATAGTCCAGTGAAGTCACGTACATTAATTTAACTTTGTTATGCTATTAAAACAATTGGCTAACTGTTGCTTTATTGAGGCGAATGAATTAGTAATTAACAATGATCTAGAACGATCTAAACCATTTAGGGAGTCAATTGATCCCGCATATGTGAATTTTGTTATATCGTGCTATGAAAGTAATAAATTGCCTAATGTATTATTGAATCAAAACAATAATAATCAGTAATTATGTAAACTAATTTAAACCATAAGTAAGGTCAAGTGGCCCCGTACACGTGAATTTAGGTGTGTCATGCTATAAAAGTTGTTTGCTGATTGTTGGTTTACTGCATCCGGTCTTTGCAATGGCTCCACGTACAAGAATTTAGGCAAGCCGTGCCAAGGAGGCAATAGACTTGACTAGAGGGTGAGAGAGGCTATAGACTTGACTTGTTCATTACCCAAGGTGAAATTAGTAATAATATTGATGGCCTTGAAAGTCTAGTGGATGAGTATGTCATAACTTGATACTCTCAATGGACCACCGGGTCTTCTTAATATTTTTTTTTGATGGGATCCATTCACACAAAGGTCCTATCCATTTGGGATCCAAAAATTAAGAATTTTAGTTTGGATCCAAAGTATTGGGTCTCATTTATGATATATTTGAATATATGGAGTCTCATTTAGATTCATGATAAATATTTAATTTTGAGCACATTTAATACTAAAAATTTGAATTTCATTTTCAGCTATATAAATTAACGAGTATTATGATTAGTAACATGACTAACTAACCATTTAAAAAGGAGTAATGTTATTGTGACTTAATTTGCTGACCTAATTCACTATGATCTTTGGATTGACTGTGGAGCCCATTAAACATTAGAACTTAGTACTGATCCAATGGTTCTACTGAAACCACATCATTATGTTAACAAATTAAGTCAAATTTTTATGTCCAAATAGTATTATTCTTCAAAAAGATATCAAAAAATTTGGAGATGTAATTGACGTCTACTTTTGTTGTGGGAGAAAACTAGAATTGCCAGTGGAGCCAAAAATATATTTAATTAGTTTTTTCAACTTTAGATCACTAATGTTGATGAATGAGCCATTTGAATAAAATCTACTAATAAGGTCTCAGGTCTCATTTTTATTGTTGGAAAGTGTTTAAAATTTAGTCAATTTAACAAAACTAAACCTCACTCCCATTTTCACTATGCAAACATTATAATTTGGTTATATCTTTTTCTTGTTCTTTTTTTCTTTCATGTTTCACTGTGCATACTGGCCTCGAATTTAGCTTTTCCGTGTTAGGGGGGTTGTGGACTGACTTGTGCATGACTGGTCCTGAGTCAAGATTTTGAGAGCTTGGCCTGCTACTTCTCCAAAGGCATCACCCCTCTATTTAATCTGATAGCACTTTGCCAAGAAACACAAGCAAAAACATATCAGCAAATAAATATGAAGGAATCAAAGGGTTTGGAGTGGTGGGTGGTAATGTTAGCTTTGATATGGCTTTGTGGTGTTGGGTGTTTTGGTTTTTGGGAGGAAGAGAGGGTTGCTCTCTTGCAACTCAAAGCTTCCATAAACTACCCAAATGGACCTTCTTTGCCATCTTGGGAGGATAGAGTGGAAGTTTATAACAGTATGGAGAGCGACTATTGTTATTGGGAAGGAGTTGAATGCAACGAGACCACATCTCATGTAATTAAGCTTTTCCTTAACTCTACAAGGGATGGGTCTTTAGGAGATTGGTATTTCAATGCCTCTTTGTTTCTTCCCTTTAAAGAGCTCTGAAATCTTGACTTATCTGATAACCAGCTTGTTGGTTGGGTCGCAAATGAAGGTCCAGATTTTCCTGCTTAGCAAAATAATAAGCATGTGGTGTTCTTAATATGTTAATTAGGGAATTTTTTTTTATTTTATCCAAAAGTAAAATTCTTAACAGGTTTCGAAAGATTATTTGTGTTGAGCAAGCTGGAGGTTCTTCGGTTGGATTCCAATTATTTCAATAACAGCATCCTATCATCTCTAGGATTGGTTTCGTCACTTCAGAGACTATACATAAGACACAACTATTTGAATGGATCTATTCACCTGCAAGGTATGAAAGAGATTTTAACAACATTTATTTATGTACGAGAATTGCAATAAATGGCCTTTTCTCCACTGCTTCTGCTTGGAACCATATCAAGGGAACCAGTCCAAAAACCTCTTGGTCCAAGCTTCCCTGGTACAGTCAATCCATCCCGAGAATGAGCTTCATTCTTTGGTTGGCCATCAAGCAAAGGCTCTCTACCAAGAATAGAATTCATGATCCTTATAACTAGACTAGCTTGGAATGCATGGTTTGGAGGCGTCACCCTGAATCCCACTTTCACCTCTTCTTTGAACGTGTCTATTCCTTTTAATTGATGGCTTTAAGTGCATAGTAGATTGCATCCCGTGTATTTAATTTATTTTTTTAAACTGTGTTTCAAAATTGACGAAGACATGTTATTAGTGCTCTCTAAAATTCTAATTTCTTATTCCTAATTTTTGGAAAATTGGATACAAAGTTCTATCATCCAAACAACTTTTCTTATTTTTTTTCATATCCGAAAATAAAAAAATTGTTTTACATATGCAAACCAAACAAGACTTTTGACAATAATTATTTCTCAACCTAAAATCCAATGAAAGAATGCAGTAGACAAAGAAATCAGTAAGCTTACAGACTGAAGTAATAAAATACTAATGGACATACATTCTTACAGATCTGAAATACTTGTTGTTTTATGGGTAGACTTTCCTGCTACGAGCAACCTGGAAGAGTTGGACTTGAGTTATAACAGAAATATTGCCAGCCTCACTACCATGATAGGTATAGATGATTTGTCGAAGGATATGTTGTTTTCGTTCTCTTCATGTGCAGGATTGAATTGGAACTACAGTATAGATCATGGCAGTGTAATATTTTGCATTCAGGTATGAAGAGCTTAAACAAGCTTCAAGTTCTTCGCATGGAAGGCATCAGATTTAATGCAAGTGTTTTACATTCACTAGGTGCATTGCCATCTCTTAGGAAGTTAATCCTTGCAGTAGAAGGATTGGTCACCAAAAAAGGTAATGACGACGACTTAATAATATTTTCTGCAGTTCCTTCCTCCCTTTTGTTACGGTTAATTAAAATATTTACATTAAGGCATTATCTGCAGTAACTTATACACTAATCAGTCCAGTTGGTATATGTGACGTGATGGATACTCAGGAGCATTGGTTTAAAAAAAAAAAATACTTTGTTACACTTTTATACCACTAATGTATAATCAGATTGCTTCAAAACAAAAACAAAAGAAAAAAGGTGTATATCATCATATTGAAGCTCTTAATTTCAGAATTTAGCCCTTTATTTCTTATTTAAACAAACTTAAACTTGAACCCAAACACCTGTATCATTATCAATACACGCGCACATAACATAACCACAGACGCAACTACACATAGGCACTTGAGCACACACATACACCACTGTCCTCTCTCTAACACACTGTCCTCCCACCATCTTCTTCTTCTTCTACAGCATCCGCCTCTTGTTGCTCATTTTGTTGCAGTTGTTCATAGACACTGAGAGAAGAACACCTGGACATAATCTTACAAACACATGCACACATAATTTTTTTTATCTCTCTCTCTCTTTCTATAACTCAACTAAAATTTGTAGATCCCTTGAGATGTAGTGGTTCAAAACCTAATTTCTAGTGCTTAATTTCCTTGAATTTTAACTGAGAACTCGTAAACTTAAAGAGACCAAAACCTAGCTAGTGCATGATTCAGAAGTGAAATTTGTGCAAATTTCTTTAATTCGGATGAAAGTTAAGATTCAAGTATTTTTTTAGGAGGAAAGCTAGAGAGAAATAAAAATCAAATCTAGCTTAATGCTATGGTTTTATTGTAACCATTGGATTAATACAAAATTTCAGTATTTCTTAGAACCCACCATAAATCCAATAGCTATAATAAATTATGCCAGTAAATTAGGTCAATAAATTTGTCACGCCCCTGCCCCGGATCACGTAGGGTGGAAAACGAACCAGCCACCAAATTCTTAACCAACTAACCATGTGCATAATAAATGTAAAGTATAATGGAAGACATATATTAAAATGATTCATTCCACACATCTAATGAATACCAAAAAAATAAACTAAAAATTATCCAATATCATTATTAAAGCCATGTAAAACCATAATCAAACTATAAGATTTACAAACTCCAAACATAAACAACATTATTCCTAAAATAATTAAATAATTGTTTTAAAATCATAAACGATACTTATTCTTAAAGACTTACAATAGAATAAATCTTCAAGTCCCCTAAGTCCTTGTTTGTCAATAGACTTACTCTTCACCCTGATGCTCACCTAGAAAAATTTTTGTATGAGCACAGGAACCCTTGAATAGAAATCACTTCTAATGAGGAGTGAAAATATGTCTCACTGTTTATATAAAAGAAATAAATTTTTATACATACTTAAGTACAACAAATTGTACCACAGCCCTTCTTACATAATCATTTACACAAAATGATATCATATTCACAAATATCTATACAAAAGAAAATATATTTATAGCTCAAACACCCACACACACTCAATTTCAAATACATTTGTTATCTTTAGCCCGATAGTTAAGCTTCGTCTCATGTTTGTTACCACTAGTTTGATAATTGGCCCAATCGTTTGTCATCGTTAGTCTGATGAAAGACCTCTATGTGTACATCCTTCTACCGATCACACCAGTATTCCTTCAATATCATTACTATTTAGACCTAGTAACCCAGTTCTCATATCACAAAACATGATTTTAACATACACACACCAGAACTATTGTTTAAGTCCCAACGCACATAAAATTATCCCACACATTTTCAAAGTTAACATGTGTAACAAATCACAATTGGAATAATTAATTATAAAAAATTTAGTTCCAACCCCAAATATCAACATATATAGCATATATTTGAAATATCCATACACACATACACCCACAAGTTTAATATAGAAAATTCTTCCAAAAGAAGTAATAAAGTACTCACATTGATTCTCATATTCCAATTCAAACCCCTCTCTCCCAATCTCAATGTAATTACTACCTAATCCAAAATAACATGTAATGATTAATCACTATTTCTAAATTCATAATTTTGCGATTCTATATTTAATTTTTATACTTCTTACCCATTGACATATCTTTATATATCATTTGCATATAAATAACATTTTAATATGAGATAATAGGGTATGCAAGTAGTATAGGTAATTTAAAAAAAATTTAAAAGTTTTGGGGTCAAATCATAATTTTTGAAATTTTTTTAGGTCAAAATATATTTTCCTTGAAAACCGAATTTTCTATTTTGGTGCGACCATACAATTTTCCAGCATTTTATTGTTCTAACTTACCAACTAAAAGGTGGGCAGAATTAAATTTATAAGAATCTAGGGGTTAATATATAATGCATTGAAATTAAATGGGGTGTCCTGTAATTTTTGAGTTTTCATTTTCTTCCTCCATGAGATTCCCAGATTCTCATATTCTACAAATGCAAAAGTCCAACCTCCCTTTTTTTTTTCTTTCCAACACAATTTAAATTTATAGTTATTTTTGAAATCATCTAACCAAACAAGTTCTTCGTCTCCGAAATACTTTTTAAAAATTATTTTTAGATATTATTTTTAGAGACGCAAATCAAACTGCCCCTATTTTTCCACGGAACCATGTTTTTTTTTTTTTTTGAGCAAAACAAGGAACCATGTTTGACTCCACTTTATATGGCCCTCCCAAGTTTTCACAATTATACCTCACCCCCTTAAATTGTGGCCATCTTATATATTGTACCATTGAACATTCAAGGCAATTCTGTGGATTATTTTTGTCGAAAAAATAACAGTGTATGAAAAATCAAATTTAAATAAGTTGTAAAAAAATTGATAAATTAAATGATTAGTTATGTTATGTGTTAAATTCAATAGTCGATGAATAAAATGATATAAGAGTCATAATTTATCGATATATTACATGTATAAGATTCAAATCAAATATAATATGAATTTAAGAGAGATACGTATTATTCGTCTTGTTTTGTTTAGTTTTCATAATTTAAAAAGACATAACGTGATTTACTGCTACTCGAGCAATCATGTGATAAAATTGGGCTTAAATTGGATTAAACGCTATCCAATTCTAAACAACTATAAATTTAAATTCTGCTTAATAACTTCTAAAATTAACGAGGTATTGTATATATGTATCAGTTATAACTCGTGCATGAAGACATGATAAAACACAAGTATCAAGCATTCAAAAAATTGATCCCACTATACAAAATAATAATTTTTTATTTCTTTGTTTCTTTTATTACATCAATTAAAATTAATTTTTACCTATTATTTTTTTTAAAATAGCGTCAAAATTTTGTAGAACTCGGAAATTTTTTTTTAACACGTGTACACTATTGTGTATGAATAAAGTATGAAATAAAATTTATGTTAAATTACAAATTAATCACCTTGGGTTTTACAAAATTAGGTCTCAATATCGTTGCTCTTTTTTTGATTAATACTATTGAGACATAAATAACTGAACTGCATAATGATGTGTCAAGAGATTTAGTCCAAATGGAAAAGTCTAAAAGTTATAATTACAACAATACTATTGATAAATTTAGAAATTACTCCTATTAGAGCATTTCCAATTTTGACTTAAATTTGGGTCAATATTTGAGTAAAAAGTTTGATTTAATACAAAATAGTCTAATGGAGAAACTCAAATTTAAAAGAAGATAAACCCAAATTTAAAGATTTGAGTCTTCCTTGATTTAAGTAAAAAATTGAGTATCTCTTAACTTTATTCAACCCAAATTGAACTTGAATAGTACTCCAATTATATAACCCTGGAACTAAAGCAGAGTTAAACTCAAATTCAATTCAAGAACTCGAGTTCAATATTAGTTTAAAATTTAAACATGGTAATCCTCGGGTTGAAAAGTGAAATTAATCCTATTAGAACATCTCTAACTTTGACTCAAATTTAGGTCAACATTTGAGTAAAATGTTTGATTTGATACAAAACACTCTTAACGTAGAAACTCTAAGGCATTATGTATTTTGATTTCTTAATTTTGTTTCTTCTTATTTTCAAAACAGAGTTGAGTGGTCTGAACAACTTGGAGCACTTATATTTGGATTCTTCATCCATCAATGGGAGTTTTCTTCATAACGCTGGAGTGATGACTTCTCTAAGGATTTTATCATTGTCTAAATGTGGACTTCGTGGCAGTCTACCTGCTCAAGGTATATATATGAGTTTATTCATGAATTGTTGCTTCGATGTTGAATCTTTAAAATAGGATCCTCAAATTTTTTTACATGTCACTAACAAAATTAATTTTTAATTTATATGAATCACAACAACTCATGCTAGGCGGCGGCATTACTTCTTTTATTTTACAGGATTTTGCGATCTTAAGAACCTTGAAGAGCTATACCTTGATGACAATGATTTTGAGGGGATATTTCCTTCATGTATGGGAAACTTGACATCGCTTCGAGCATTGGATCTCTCTTCCAATAACTTGCATGGAAGTGTTGCCCACTCTCCCCTTACTATTCTCACTTCACTTGAATACCTTTCCCTTTCAGATAATCACTTCATGATTCCATTCTCATTTGCCTCATTTTCTAACCATTCAAAGCTTGAGGTCATTTTAAGTGATAATAACGTAGCAACGATTGAAAATGAATCTCAATCATGGATCCCGAGATTTCAACTGAAGTTTTTTAGTTTGTCAAATTGTGCCATTAAAACACTACCTTCTTTCTTGTATTACCAAAATCAGATGATAGCTGTTGATCTCTCCCACAACAACTTATTGGGGAAGTTCCCCACCTGGTTGTTAGAGAATAATACGAGATTGGAATTACTTCAACTACGAAATAACTCTTTAAGGGGGCCTTTTCAAATGCCTTCTTATCCTTATCCTCACATTTCACAATTAGATGTTTCTGACAATTACTTAACTGGTCAAATTCCTACAAATTTAGATATGATCTTTCCAAGCTTGGAGTTTGTCGACATGTCCAATAATATGATTGATGGTCGTATTCCTCTTGGTTTTGGCAATATCAGTTCTTTACGGATGATAGACCTATCTAACAATCGTTTAGATGGAGGAATACCAGAACATCTGCAAATNTAATTTTTACCTATTATTTTTTTTAAAATAGCGTCAAAATTTTGTAGAACTCGGAAATTTTTTTTTAACACGTGTACACTATTGTGTATGAATAAAGTATGAAATAAAATTTATGTTAAATTACAAATTAATCACCTTGGGTTTTACAAAATTAGGTCTCAATATCGTTGCTCTTTTTTTGATTAATACTATTGAGACATAAATAACTGAACTGCATAATGATGTGTCAAGAGATTTAGTCCAAATGGAAAAGTCTAAAAGTTATAATTACAACAATACTATTGATAAATTTAGAAATTACTCCTATTAGAGCATTTCCAATTTTGACTTAAATTTGGGTCAATATTTGAGTAAAAAGTTTGATTTAATACAAAATAGTCTAATGGAGAAACTCAAATTTAAAAGAAGATAAACCCAAATTTAAAGATTTGAGTCTTCCTTGATTTAAGTAAAAAATTGAGTATCTCTTAACTTTATTCAACCCAAATTGAACTTGAATAGTACTCCAATTATATAACCCTGGAACTAAAGCAGAGTTAAACTCAAATTCAATTCAAGAACTCGAGTTCAATATTAGTTTAAAATTTAAACATGGTAATCCTCGGGTTGAAAAGTGAAATTAATCCTATTAGAACATCTCTAACTTTGACTCAAATTTAGGTCAACATTTGAGTAAAATGTTTGATTTGATACAAAACACTCTTAACGTAGAAACTCTAAGGCATTATGTATTTTGATTTCTTAATTTTGTTTCTTCTTATTTTCAAAACAGAGTTGAGTGGTCTGAACAACTTGGAGCACTTATATTTGGATTCTTCATCCATCAATGGGAGTTTTCTTCATAACGCTGGAGTGATGACTTCTCTAAGGATTTTATCATTGTCTAAATGTGGACTTCGTGGCAGTCTACCTGCTCAAGGTATATATATGAGTTTATTCATGAATTGTTGCTTCGATGTTGAATCTTTAAAATAGGATCCTCAAATTTTTTTACATGTCACTAACAAAATTAATTTTTAATTTATATGAATCACAACAACTCATGCTAGGCGGCGGCATTACTTCTTTTATTTTACAGGATTTTGCGATCTTAAGAACCTTGAAGAGCTATACCTTGATGACAATGATTTTGAGGGGATATTTCCTTCATGTATGGGAAACTTGACATCGCTTCGAGCATTGGATCTCTCTTCCAATAACTTGCATGGAAGTGTTGCCCACTCTCCCCTTACTATTCTCACTTCACTTGAATACCTTTCCCTTTCAGATAATCACTTCATGATTCCATTCTCATTTGCCTCATTTTCTAACCATTCAAAGCTTGAGGTCATTTTAAGTGATAATAACGTAGCAACGATTGAAAATGAATCTCAATCATGGATCCCGAGATTTCAACTGAAGTTTTTTAGTTTGTCAAATTGTGCCATTAAAACACTACCTTCTTTCTTGTATTACCAAAATCAGATGATAGCTGTTGATCTCTCCCACAACAACTTATTGGGGAAGTTCCCCACCTGGTTGTTAGAGAATAATACGAGATTGGAATTACTTCAACTACGAAATAACTCTTTAAGGGGGCCTTTTCAAATGCCTTCTTATCCTTATCCTCACATTTCACAATTAGATGTTTCTGACAATTACTTAACTGGTCAAATTCCTACAAATTTAGATATGATCTTTCCAAGCTTGGAGTTTGTCGACATGTCCAATAATATGATTGATGGTCGTATTCCTCTTGGTTTTGGCAATATCAGTTCTTTACGGATGATAGACCTATCTAACAATCGTTTAGATGGAGGAATACCAGAACATCTGCAAATGGGTCTTTCCTCCTTGGAGTTGCTCAAACTATCAAATAATTACTTGCATGGTCAAATATTTGGCAATCTTCTCAACCTGGTTCAATTGGGGGCGTTATATTTGGACAACAATCACTTTCTTGGAAACATATCAGACTGCTTATCAAATGCCTCTACGTTGACGGCGGTGGATATTTCTAATAACCGTTTGTCTGGCTTCCTTCCCAAGTGGTTCGGGAATGTATCGGCTTTATCGCAAATAAGTTTGGCCAAAAATCACTTTGAAGGCCCCATTCCATTGGGATTTTGCAAACTTAATTATCTTCCGTTTTTGGATTTATCTGAGAATAACTTGTCAGGCTCTGTGCCAGCTTGCTTCAACCCTTCATCCATAATGCATATCCATCTGAATAAAAATAGATTGAGTGGTCCATTGACTCTTGCATTCTATGACATCTCCCAATTGGTGACATTAGACCTTGGAGACAACAGGTTTACTGGTGAAATCCCGAATTGGATATGCCAACTTTCTAGATTGAGGGTTCTTATCTTGAAACGTAACAATTTTGGAGGCAACATTCCCAGTCAATTATGCCAGTTGCAAGAATTAAGCATGATTGATCTTTCTCAGAATAGACTTTCTGGTCCTATTCCTCATTGCCTGTCTGACATCACTTAGGAGTCGAGCATTGACAAATCTCTTACACCAGGAGCAGGATTTCCTGAACCAAGGGAATTATCATTTTCAATCATGGGAATTAATAGACCTTTTGNGGCGGCATTACTTCTTTTATTTTACAGGATTTTGCGATCTTAAGAACCTTGAAGAGCTATACCTTGATGACAATGATTTTGAGGGGATATTTCCTTCATGTATGGGAAACTTGACATCGCTTCGAGCATTGGATCTCTCTTCCAATAACTTGCATGGAAGTGTTGCCCACTCTCCCCTTACTATTCTCACTTCACTTGAATACCTTTCCCTTTCAGATAATCACTTCATGATTCCATTCTCATTTGCCTCATTTTCTAACCATTCAAAGCTTGAGGTCATTTTAAGTGATAATAACGTAGCAACGATTGAAAATGAATCTCAATCATGGATCCCGAGATTTCAACTGAAGTTTTTTAGTTTGTCAAATTGTGCCATTAAAACACTACCTTCTTTCTTGTATTACCAAAATCAGATGATAGCTGTTGATCTCTCCCACAACAACTTATTGGGGAAGTTCCCCACCTGGTTGTTAGAGAATAATACGAGATTGGAATTACTTCAACTACGAAATAACTCTTTAAGGGGGCCTTTTCAAATGCCTTCTTATCCTTATCCTCACATTTCACAATTAGATGTTTCTGACAATTACTTAACTGGTCAAATTCCTACAAATTTAGATATGATCTTTCCAAGCTTGGAGTTTGTCGACATGTCCAATAATATGATTGATGGTCGTATTCCTCTTGGTTTTGGCAATATCAGTTCTTTACGGATGATAGACCTATCTAACAATCGTTTAGATGGAGGAATACCAGAACATCTGCAAATGGGTCTTTCCTCCTTGGAGTTGCTCAAACTATCAAATAATTACTTGCATGGTCAAATATTTGGCAATCTTCTCAACCTGGTTCAATTGGGGGCGTTATATTTGGACAACAATCACTTTCTTGGAAACATATCAGACTGCTTATCAAATGCCTCTACGTTGACGGCGGTGGATATTTCTAATAACCGTTTGTCTGGCTTCCTTCCCAAGTGGTTCGGGAATGTATCGGCTTTATCGCAAATAAGTTTGGCCAAAAATCACTTTGAAGGCCCCATTCCATTGGGATTTTGCAAACTTAATTATCTTCCGTTTTTGGATTTATCTGAGAATAACTTGTCAGGCTCTGTGCCAGCTTGCTTCAACCCTTCATCCATAATGCATATCCATCTGAATAAAAATAGATTGAGTGGTCCATTGACTCTTGCATTCTATGACATCTCCCAATTGGTGACATTAGACCTTGGAGACAACAGGTTTACTGGTGAAATCCCGAATTGGATATGCCAACTTTCTAGATTGAGGGTTCTTATCTTGAAACGTAACAATTTTGGAGGCAACATTCCCAGTCAATTATGCCAGTTGCAAGAATTAAGCATGATTGATCTTTCTCAGAATAGACTTTCTGGTCCTATTCCTCATTGCCTGTCTGACATCACTTAGGAGTCGAGCATTGACAAATCTCTTACACCAGGAGCAGGATTTCCTGAACCAAGGGAATTATCATTTTCAATCATGGGAATTAATAGACCTTTTGATTTTCCATATCAATCTAATTCCTATTCTATTGAAATGTAGAATGCCAAAGAAAATGTGGAGTTCACAACAAAGAATAGTACTTATCCATATCAGGGCGCTGTCCTAGATTTGATTTCAGGAATTGATTTCTCTTGCAACCAATTAACTGGTACTATACCACCAGAAATTGGGAACTTAAGTGAGCTCTTCATGTTAAATCTGTCCCATAACAATCTCCTTGGATCCATTCCGGCATCATTGTCCAACCTAAGTCATATTGAGAGTTTAGATCTTTCCTATAACAAATTGACCGGGAGTATCCCCTCCGAATTGATTAAGTTGAACTTCTTGGAGGTCTTCAGTGTCGCCTACAACAATTTATCAGGTAAAACTCCAGATTTGAAAGCTCAGTTTGCTACCTTCAGCGAGAGTAGTTACGAGGGAAATCCTTATATTTGTGGACCTCCATCACATAACAATTGTACTGATGTCCGAGCACCATCGTCAATTCCAAAAGATTCAGAGGATGAGCAAAATGATGGTGGTTTCACTGACATGGATGTATTTCATGTGAGCTTTTTAGTGTCTTATATCATGTTGTTATTAGGAACTTTAGCAGTTCTTTATGTGAACCCTCCTTGGCAAAGGGCATGGCTCCATTTGGTTGAAGCATGTATGACCTCTTGCTACTATTTTGTTGTTGACAGTTTTCATAAGTTGTTCAACCGCAACATTGTGTGACCCATTAGCTAGATTTTTATGTGTACTCTTTCAATAAAAGCACTGTACTATTTTAAAGTTTTCAGTAGATAATGGTTTCAGTTTATGTACTTCTATCATTAGGTTATGTTATGCATTTTACTTATGTAGTCATGAGAGTAAAAGGAAGAGCTCCAAAAGAGTTCAATGTGTTCCCTCAATAAACCAATGGATAACTTAAATGAAAATTTAAGTTATTGTATAGCTTGCCTACATTACCTTTTAATCCCAAGTAGTAATGTTCAAAAACACTTTACTTTCGTAAAGTTCAAAAATATACTCATACTTTGTGTTTTTGGACCAACATATAATTGATTCCCGAAGTGAAATAGGTAAAAGTCATTTGATTTACTTTCTATAAATATATAAAACCAATGCCTTCTTTAATCCTAATTTTAGTTCCAAGTACATAGTGCAAACACATATTTTCCAAAGTTAATACATTTTTATTTCGACAATAGACCGAAACTAACTTTTTGCATTGCCCCTTTTTTGTCACCCTATTTGTCAAAACAAAAATCAAATTTTCTTGTGTGATGAGTCAGTCAATTAGTCATAATCATTAGCATGATTTGACCTTCGATTTATCTCAATCCTATTATTGAGGAATATGAATGTTCTGTCATCCTATATATATTGGTATTCCCCTACCACAGAAAGCACATTCCACTAAAAATTTTACTAGGTAACAATCCGAAATTCATCACTAAAAGAACTTTGCTACAAATTTTTTTGTTGCAATGTTTGTTGGAGGGAGCCCCTAGCTAAGTGCCGGCGAAATTTAATCATAGGTTAAAGTTGAGTTTTTTCATGGAAAATTTTTGCTGGTGGCAACTTTTGCCTAAGAAAATATATTCTAAGGTAAAAAGGGTTGCCTTCAACATAATCTTTCCCTATGAAAATTTTTCCCTGGTAAAAATTGTATTATTTAAAAAAAAAAAACACTAAATGAGTTAATACCAATTAAACTACCCAAAAACAAACTAAATGAATTTATACCCCCAGGACTTCAAAAACAAACCAAGAATGCAAATAAAGATCATCAAAAATAGTGCACAATACTTCATAACCGACTCTTGGTAGAAATCTTACCTAAAAAAAATCTTTGCACAAAACTTAAGCAAAATAATGCGTAGTGTCTTATGCATTACAAAAGAACTCATGGAGATTTCCCATTTTGATAGTCTGTATCAATTTCCACAATGGTGTGGCCAAGCGCTTGAATGCCAAAAAGTTAGTTGTCAATGCTTTTACATTTGTACTACTTCACATTCCTCTTTAACATTGTCAATTATAAATGACTTACAAACATCACTGCTAATTACCTAAGACAATGGCAAATATATGTTCAAGTTTTAGCTATGGGGAAAATAAAGGAAACTGGGTATAAAGTTGGAAATGGCTTAAACACATTTCCCTTGTTGGACCCTTGGTACTCTAGGGGGATCATTCAGTAGGTCTGGGGTTTTGAACATGGTGAAAAATTCAAGCCTTGAGAGAGAAGCAAAAGTTTGTAGCATAGTGGGAACTTATGGATGGGTATGGCGTAAGCACGAGAATGCTGAAATTAAGGAAGTTCTTAACACCATTCCATCAACTTTTAGGCTTGGTCTGGTTGCTATAGATAGTGTGAAATGGATGTCCTCAACCATTTTTTGCACCAAATCTGCATGGGAATGCTTTAGATTCAAGCAGAAACAACAAAGATGGTCACATATTGTATGGTTTCATGTTACCATTCCTAGGCACAACTTCATTATGTGTCTTGCAGGAAGAAAGAGATCAACTATAGAATCAAGATATACTTCTGCTATATGGCATCATTTCTAAGGCTATTTGTGTCTTTCGTAGAGGTGGGGCAGAGACACAACCATCTCTAATTTGAATATCCATTGTAGAGTCAGTAAGGTCCTTGTAATCTTTCAGATATTGAATAAAATCTTTAATATTGCATCTTTATTGATATCTTTCTTCAATTGTCATTTCCTAAAACCTTAGTCTGTCTTTCCTCAATGCCAAAAAGAGAGGTGAAGGATATTAGGTTATAGTGAGAGTAAAAGGAACTATGAAAGCCAGGAGGTGCCATGAAGATTGTTCTAGTAGCTCAAAGACGAGTCTTATAATCTAGCTTGAGACACGGGAACAGAAAGCAGGCTTCAGGAAGGAATGACAAATGAGGAGGAAGCGAGGTGGACTATACAATCAATATGTGATTTTGATTATTTTCATGTTAATATTAGATTTGAGCTTTAGCATAATCTGAATACATTAGAAAGGGAGATCAAAACATTAGAAAAACAAAAACATGAACTAGAATCATGACCAACAACTTTATTTAACTTAAGAATAGTTAATCTTTGAATTAGAGATAAATTATCAAAAACTTAGAAGCCAACCAAAAGCTTTGTATTGGATAGTATAGTATTTTAGAATAGATACTATATTAGTTTAAATATACGGGGCAATAGCATAATTTTGTCATTGGGAAGTAATTTCCAAAGTACCCTTACCTGTGTTTGTTTGGGGGATTGCTATGCATGGGATTGTGAAATAAATTCTTTCCATTTCCAATGTCTATGTAAAGTAGTAATGGTAATAAAAAGTAAACATGTTTAAAGTTTTTAATAAAAAGTAAACATGTTTAAAGTCTATCCTTATATAGCCAAGATTCTAAAAAGTAATCCCAAGTATTTTCTAATCTTTCATGATAAATGGATACTCTAAAACTGTTTTAGAATATAATTCAACATCCTTCAATGCACCACATACTTACAAGTGGAGCATATGCAATGTACAGCCGAGAGGAATAGTGACCAGTAAAAGTATTCTATCGCATTTAAAGTAGCATAAAAGAGGGATCCAGTGTTCAGTGTCCGCAGATAATGAGTAATCATAGTCAGGAAATGGTTCGTTATACAAATCACAATCCATCAGTAAAATTTCAATAAAGATCCATAAAAAATGATCAACCTATAGTACAGTAACAAAGATATTAACAAAGTTTAGTTTTAGTACTAAATATAGCACAGTAGGGACACCTAACACAACTCTTATCAAATCTGACCTTTATATAGAGATAAAAAGTGAAGATCAAAGCAAATATAGCAACAGCTTCATTGTCATAACTGCCAGCCACAGAGCGAGATATATAGGATGGAACCTAAAAAAGATCACATAGAAAACAGAGAGTATGATTATCACACAGAATAGAGTACCACAAAAACATAGAGCAGCATACTTAATATTAATGTTTTTAATATTAGCTAGAACCAAGAAAAGAACAAAAACAAAAGTAAGACAACCTTGATTGAGAGGTTTACTGTCTACATTCACATAGAATGGAGTACCACAAACACATAGAGCAACAAACTTAATATTAAAGTTTGTATTACTATCACCAAGAAAAGAACAAAAACAAAAGTAAGACAGACAAGCTTGTCGACAGGTTTACTGTTAAAATCAAACACACAATTGATGACCTTCTCACAACAAAAGCCTACCATAACAAGATGTACACCTGATGCTCCAATATGTCATTACTGACTGACAACTATGTCTAAGAGAAACAGTAAAAAAAAACAGGGAAGGAAAAAAGGGATGAAAGAAAGAAAGAGAAATACAAATGCGGTAGCTCAACTCAAATTGTTGGGTATCATTCGAATATGATTAAAAATATTAGAAAGATATGCTCATATATTTTTGACAATAATGCTGCAAGGAAAAGGACACATGAGAAACTACTGTTTAAAATTTTAAAACAGCATCAAAAAGAATAAGAAATGAAGTTACAGATACCCAATACAAAATTTACCATGGCCAAAAGAGCTGCTGCAGTCAGTCCAGCACCGGTGCCCTTACCTTCCTATTACAAGGGCCTACAAAACTAGACTGAGAAACCTCAGCTCAAAGAAATATATTAAAAGATATCAGCTAACCTAATGATAATAACTACAACTAAAAAAAAAAAAAGATTAAGCTGGCCAGAAAACAAACCTTCGTCAAAAGGAAAGTAGCGCAAGCAGCAATACCAGAGAATGTTGGAGCAGTAAATACACAAACAGTCTCCACAGATAGAGGAATGTTTAAAGAATTCTGTATCCTGCCATAATAAAGTATGACCCCAGGTCAGATTATAAGCTGTTATAGTTGGAAAACCAAATAAACAGAATAAACTAAGTCTGACAGACCAGTAAATCGCTACTGGAGAAAATTTATTATTCTAGGATGTAACATGACTATAATANCACAACTCTTATCAAATCTGACCTTTATATAGAGATAAAAAGTGAAGATCAAAGCAAATATAGCAACAGCTTCATTGTCATAACTGCCAGCCACAGAGCGAGATATATAGGATGGAACCTAAAAAAGATCACATAGAAAACAGAGAGTATGATTATCACACAGAATAGAGTACCACAAAAACATAGAGCAGCATACTTAATATTAATGTTTTTAATATTAGCTAGAACCAAGAAAAGAACAAAAACAAAAGTAAGACAACCTTGATTGAGAGGTTTACTGTCTACATTCACATAGAATGGAGTACCACAAACACATAGAGCAACAAACTTAATATTAAAGTTTGTATTACTATCACCAAGAAAAGAACAAAAACAAAAGTAAGACAGACAAGCTTGTCGACAGGTTTACTGTTAAAATCAAACACACAATTGATGACCTTCTCACAACAAAAGCCTACCATAACAAGATGTACACCTGATGCTCCAATATGTCATTACTGACTGACAACTATGTCTAAGAGAAACAGTAAAAAAAAACAGGGAAGGAAAAAAGGGATGAAAGAAAGAAAGAGAAATACAAATGCGGTAGCTCAACTCAAATTGTTGGGTATCATTCGAATATGATTAAAAATATTAGAAAGATATGCTCATATATTTTTGACAATAATGCTGCAAGGAAAAGGACACATGAGAAACTACTGTTTAAAATTTTAAAACAGCATCAAAAAGAATAAGAAATGAAGTTACAGATACCCAATACAAAATTTACCATGGCCAAAAGAGCTGCTGCAGTCAGTCCAGCACCGGTGCCCTTACCTTCCTATTACAAGGGCCTACAAAACTAGACTGAGAAACCTCAGCTCAAAGAAATATATTAAAAGATATCAGCTAACCTAATGATAATAACTACAACTAAAAAAAAAAAAAGATTAAGCTGGCCAGAAAACAAACCTTCGTCAAAAGGAAAGTAGCGCAAGCAGCAATACCAGAGAATGTTGGAGCAGTAAATACACAAACAGTCTCCACAGATAGAGGAATGTTTAAAGAATTCTGTATCCTGCCATAATAAAGTATGACCCCAGGTCAGATTATAAGCTGTTATAGTTGGAAAACCAAATAAACAGAATAAACTAAGTCTGACAGACCAGTAAATCGCTACTGGAGAAAATTTATTATTCTAGGATGTAACATGACTATAATACACACCACCACAAGGTGCCTGCCATCAACGTCAATCCAGGGTAAACAGTTCCACCAATCACATGCCCAAGCGGATACCTTAGGACAAGTAAAATAAACAGCATGACTTATATTTGTCAATTGAAAACCAAAACAGGAGAATAAGTAAGCCGGAAGATTTCTGAGAATTTTTCCACGAGTTGTAATTTCCATTACCAGGTCCGATCATCAAACCAATTCCAAAAGTCATATATCTCATTCTTTGTGAAATACTGAAACCCATAAATACTCTTGCCAACATAAACCTACTCTTAATCTCTTATGACATTGCACAAAAGGCATTCCTATGAGAGAACATACTAATGTAAATAAATAAATGGACATGTTTTAAGTAACTACATTATAAAATGGTAGCTTCCTGGTTATGATACAAGCTTCAATTTCGTCATCATGGGCTCAAGAAAGTTTACATTTCTTTTTCTCTGCTAGTCATCAGTCCTACGCATTTCATTTTGCTCTTCATTTATGATATACTCAAAATTGGATACATTGAGACGCAATTACAGATTCTTCAAACGATTTCCGAAGGCAAACCCTTAACTCTTTAAGTCTTGTTGGAGTTCCAAGTTAACAGTGTGATGTTCATGGAGTAGACGTTAACATAAAAGTGTGACGCGAAAGGTAGGTCTTGGATGCTCTAAGGGCATTTTTAAGAAGGATATCTGTTGTTCAAAATATATTTAAATATTATATTATCTGTTTTAATCAATCATTTTTTTAAATTCATTCCAACAACGTCATCTATTTTATCTAATCACTTCAACTAAATTTAACTAAATTTTAATAATAATATCTAAAATATTATTTAGTATGCCATGTCATCATCATATTTATAACATCATATGCTGACGTATTACGCCACGTTATCAAAATTTTAAAATTTTAATTTTTATTAATAATGATCATATTTACAACGGTCGCGAAATTCAAAATTTTAAAATTTGAGTTTTTTAACGGTTATATTTATAACGGTCATATTTTTGGATATGTATAAATAGGATCTTTAATCTCTCATTGTCATACACCTCAAATCTATTTCTTCTCTATAAACTCTTCTTTGTGTTTATGTTATGGTTCGGCATTCTGTAATGAACATGATTCTTAACGATTCTAGCTCCGATGATGAATTGGAGATAGTAACAATTTGTGCTATTGAAATGAACAAACTCAATAGCGAGGAAAGCTCTGTCATACGTCATGGTTCCATTCAAGGTCATTCAATTATTTTTTGCAATCGAGTTTAAGGCCACGAAAGACTGTATAGTGATTATTTTGATGAACTTTCTATCTATCCCTCAAATTTATTTCGAAGAAGGTTTCGAATGAATCGAGCCTTTTTCTTTCGTATTCTATCTAAGGTGGAAGATTGTGATCCATATTTTGTCCAAAAAAAAAATGCTGCTGAAACTACTAGCTTGTCTTTCCTTCAAAAGATGACAGCCGTCACAAGGATGCTTGCTTATGGGATTACAGCAGATGTTGTTGATAATTATATGACGATTGGCGAAAACATCACAATAGAAAGTTTAAAAAAATTTGTGAGGGCAATAGTAGTAATTTTTTTCAATGAATACCTCAGGTCACCAAACAACGATGACATTGCTAGATTATTAGTAATGAGTATCAACCGTGGGTTTCTTGGGATGTTGGGTAGCATTGATTGTATGCATTGAAAATGGAAGAATTGTCCAATAGCATAAAAATGTATATATTCTGGTCACGTACATGAACCAACAATTATTTTGAAGGCGGTGGTTTTATATGATCTTTGGAGTTGACATGCCTTTTTTGGGTTATCCGGATCTCATAATGATATCATCGTATTAGAACGCTCTTCTGTTTTTGTTTTCTTTTAAGAAGGTCGGGCTCCTCTAGTCAATTTTTTAGTCAGCAGAAACAATTATACAATGAGATATTACCGTGGATTTCCTGAGATGTTAGGACACTTTAATTGGTAAGTTAGTCAGAAGAATTTAAAAGAAGGGACACGTACTCTAGATTATCTTGTAGTACTAAACCCTAGTAAAAAGAAACTGAAAACTAAACATTTTTTTTTGTAATATGGTTGTATGTTGCAACAACTGCTATAATCTGAATAATGCCCTGAACTGAAAAAAAGAAAAAAAAATACCCTATATAACCAGAGATTTGAATTATTTAATCAAGACGATTTGTCGACTAATGTCAAAGAGAGATAAGTGATAGAAATTAAGGTGTGAAAAGCAAATGCTTACTTTGGTTCAAAAGGATAATATCAAATAAATTAATATCAATTTTTTAAAATTCAAACGATTGTATATTTCACAATAACACTATAAAAAATCTTTCCAAATATTTTCATATCATTTATACATGAATCAAGACATGGATAACTAGGTAATATTAAAAAAAAAACTGAAAAGTGTACTTATAATTTTTTATACTTATTTTGAATTTAAATACTTACATGTTAAAACTTGAAACTTATATCCAAATAAGACTTAAAAAGTGTACCCAAACCCAATTTTCCCTTGTTTTTATACATGAGAGCCCAATTTAATTAATAGCTTAATAACATTTTTGGTCCCTAAAATATATATTTTTTAACAATTTAATTCTTATTTTATCAATTTAGTCCCTAAAGTATTAAATTCGTGTTTTTTTTGTCCCTACATAGACGGACCCGTTAAGTTTTTAATGGAATGATCACGTGTTGAGAATGTGATACAGTCTAAAAAAAGAACACGTGGTTACTTATGTCAAAACAATAGACAGATTGTCTGATTAGGGACCAAAGTGACACAGATTAAATATTTTAAGGACCAAATTGATAAAATTAATACCAAGATGACTAAATTAATAAAAAAAAAAATGCATATTTCAGGGATCAAAAGTGGTTATTAAACCTTAATTAATACTACATCAAAATCTGACTCCATTGTTCCAATGTAAACAAACATATTGCGATTGGTAAAATCACTTACGAAAAATGTGATGGTCTATGAGGAGGTAACATAAGAAACTCCCAATAGTTTATCAGGGGATAAAGTGAGGTCGGGGCCATGGAGTCAAGTGTAATTTATACATAATAATGATACGAGAAATTAAGTCAGCCGTGTTAGGTGGATAGTTGACTAGCTTGTGCATTTCTAGATCAAATTGAATAGTCATGATTTTGAAGGCTCGACTTGTAAACCATCCAAAGGCCTTAACCCTCTATTTAATCTGGCACCACTTTGCCATGAAATAGAAAAAAGAAGAAGTATATATATCAGAATCATAATAACTACACAGCTACAGTAGCAGAAGTTAAATATGAAGGAATCAAAGGGTTTGCAGTGTTGGGTGGTAATGTTAGGTCTTATGTGATTTTGTGGTGTTGGGTGTTTTGGATGTTGGGAGGAAGAGAGGGTTGCTCTATTGCAATTCAAAGCTTCCATAAACTACCCAAATGGAAATTCTTTGCCTTCTTGGGAGGACAGAGTGGAAGGTTATAACAGTATGGAGAGCGCCTGTTGTTTTTGGGAAGGAATTGAATGCAACGAGACCACAGCTCATGTAACTAAGCTTTCCCTTGACTCTACAAGGAACCGGCGTTTAGGAGATTGGTATTTCAATGCCTCTTTGTTTCTTCCCTTTAAAGAGCTCCGGAAGCTTGACTTATCTAATAACCAGCTTGTTGATTGGGCCGCAAACGAAGGTCTAGCTTTTATTTTTTAACAAGCTAACAAGCATGTGGAGCTATGAATATATATGATTTAGGGGTTTTTTTCTCTGAAATATGAAATTCTTGGCAGGTTTTGAAAGATTATCTGGGTTGAACAAGCTGGAGGTCCTTCTGTTGGATGAGAATGGCTACAATAACAGCATCCTATCATCTCTTGGAGTGCTTTCACCACTTAAGAGACTAGCTATAAGCTGGAACAACTTGAATGGATCTATTCACCTACAAGGTATGAAAGAGATTTTAACAACATTTATATATGTACGAGAATTGCAATAAATGGCCTTTTCTCCACTGCTTCTGCTTGGAACCATATCAAGGGAACTAGTCCAAAAACCTCTGGGTCCAAGCTCCCCTGGTACAGTCAGTCCATCCCGAGAATGAGCTTCATTCTTTGGTTGGGCATCAAGCAAAGGCTCTCCACCAAGGATAGTGTTAGAGTATGTGTGACTCATATTTGCTGTGTGCATAATGGCAAGGAAGCAGATGCCGGAGCGGGATTTATATAAAGGGGACGCTGATTAGTTGGGGGTGCGAGGGCAACGCCCCTGCGGTACGATACAGGGGTATTTTTGTAAATACGTCCATATTAGGGTTATATAAATACTTAATATGTAACCCTACTTCAATAATGGAAAAGAACAGTTGCTCACTCTCGTGGATATAGGCACATTGCCGAACCACGTAAATCTCTGTGTGTTATTTTCTCCTGCTTTCTTAATTGTTTGATTCCTTACTATTCACCATAATTGCTGCACGATCACAACAATTGGTATCAGAGCTAAACTACGATGTCTGAGATTTCCTTTACAAAATTCGACATCATGAAGTTTGACGAAACTGGGAATTTCGGATTATGGCAGAGGAGGGTGAAGGACCTGTTAGTGCATCAGGGCATGGTGAAGGCATTATACGAAAAACAACCGGCAGGAATGGACGACATGGATTGGAAAGAATTGGAAGCGAAGGCTGTGGCAACTATTAGGCTTTGTCTGGCTGATGAAGTGATGTATCACGTCATGGATGAGGAATCACCGGTGGAAGTTTGGTTGAAACTGGAAAGTCGGTATATGTCCAAGTCGTTGACGAACAAACTCTATCTTAAGCAGAAACTATATGGTCTTAAGATGTCAGAGGGCTCAGATTTGACCCAACACATCAACGTGTTCAATCAGATCATCAGCGATCTGAAGCGAGTTGATGTGAAGTTCGAAGACGAAGACAAGGCGCTGATGTTGCTGAATTCCTTACCGGCGTCTCCTACGTACGAGAATTTGGTTACAACTCTGATGTGGGGGAAAGAAACCCTCGAATTGGAGGATGTCACAGGTGCTCTGTTAGGTTTTCATCAGCGGAAGAAAG